TTGAGAAACGCTGCTTTATGCACGGAACTCCCCCTGTGCCATTCAAAGCTGCAAAGCAGGTGCGATTTATTCACCAGCTGTTGCACCGCTGCAGGGAAGAAACCCGCTGCAACGGTTGCCTTCCCGCTGGCCGCCGGGGCACTCGTGCTTCTTCACGGAAGAATCGGAAGTGACCGTGATCAATCGTTTAAAACTACTGGAACCGAGCAAATAAGCGACTCGTTAGAAAGCTGCCCCTGCAGGATTTCTGGTGGTCCTGCTCCTCGGTTTACGAAGTGGGCCCCGATCAACATCTGGGGCAATAAATAAAAAATGCCACTTTCTAAAGTTGCCGAGTGCTGGTTGTCTCTGCGTATCAGTTGGGGGTGACATCTCTCCAGCAAGAGAAAAAGGCAGGAGAATGCAAACTGTGATGTTAGGGGCTGGGCTGGCACAACAGGTTAGCCTAAAACTAGCTGCTGGCTAATTTGTGGTGCGGTGTGTTGTCTGTATTCACTCAGTGTGTGGGCAAACCCATGCAGTTGGCTGAATTTAGTTAACCAAGAGCTTGGCTGTGCTTGCAGGAGCTTTCCAGCATTCTACAACTCCAGTCTAGTTTGCCTCTTTTAATATTTAAATCTCTTCCAGATCTTGTTTTTCACACCCTGTTTTGCCCTTAGCCCAGTTTTTTCTTCACAGCAGAATCCTGTGTAAAAGTAAAGTCTGCTTTGCTCTCTGACCTCACAAACACATCCATGCCGTTTTCTTGGCAACCATATGGAAGTGGCTTGCCATTGCTTTTTTCCAAGATGTTTTTCAGCTTCCCCATCTCACATACAGCTCTTGAACTTTCTGGTGGTTTTCCATCTTTGTTATCTAGGTCTGACCATACTTGGCTTCCAGATCTAGTGAAAGGCCAATCAGGTGTGTTGCCGTACTGTATGTCTTTTCAGTGATTCACTCAATAATTCATTTAATTTAAATCAGTCAGAGGGACTATTTGATTAAAGCCACTATCTTCTGAGTAATGAAAGTTATTGAACAGTTAGGGAACTATCTTAAAATGTTCTTTTACTGAACAAGTAGTTTAATAGGATACATGAATAAAATATGTAAAATATAATAAATGGTAAGGGTTTTTTTTCATAGTGCACTCTTATGCTTTGTCATGATGTTAATATTTGATTTGCTTTTCTGTTATGCTTAAGATCACCTTTTTGTTGGTTTAAATTTTTTATATCATATTTTTTGTAATTGCTTAATATTTTTGTTTCTGTTGTAATCACCAGCTTTTGTGCAATTTATGAATATATTTGTGTGCATTGTTCTGACCAGGCTTTGGTGCAAATTATGCAATTTATGAATTTAAGTATTACTTAAATACTTAGAGGCTGACATATTAATAGAGTGACTCAAATTTCCAATAATATTTATTTTTCTTCAAGTAGAAAATGAAAACGCTTATCTAGCTAAGGATCCCTGGATCCAAGCATAGAAATAAAAGCTATTTTAACTTGGAATATTTTTGTTTTTCAATTGGCAACATTTTTTATTATGCTTTTATATTTATGGATATAGTTGCTTGAAGATCTTAGATCTGCATCTGGAAAAAGCTGATGTAATACAAATCTCCAAGCTAAAATACAGATTAGAACCCTGTTTTCCTTCTGCTTGCACGGGTCTTAAATTTTGGAAGCAGTTTTTGGCATTCCATAGAAAATGTATATAATTTTTTTTTATAATAAAACATGCATGAAGATTCATTAAATTATTATGTAGATTTTTTCCCCAGACACCCATAAATTAATGGAAAAGTAGACAAGACAGATGAAGAACTGATAAATTTCAGGCCAGAGAGATACAGTGGCTAAAGTACTTGAATGGGAAGACCCACTCCATAACCATGGAACTGACTGAGTGGTTTTGGGGCAGGAACTTTCTTCCAGCCCAAACTGTCTCACAGTGACAGGTGGGTTGTGAGGAAAAAGTGAGGAGTGACCCTTTCTATGCTTCCTTGAGCATCTTATGTAAGATTTGTTTATCTGTAATTACAGACTCTTAGTTGTAGTCTGCTCTAAGTAGACAGCTGTTAGACAGCTAAGTAGACAGCTTCTCCTCAAATCCTACTTTTTTTTGTGATTAGGAAGAAGGTAAGGGATCATCTAAAATTTTTTCTTGTTCTCTAAAATAAACAACGATTCTGACATTATAGATTAAAACTGAACTGTTGAGGGTGTTGATGGGGTGAGGGTGTGTTTGTTAAAAAGAGGAGCTTCTACTCATTTTCCATGTGGCTTGACTCTATGCTCAGCAAGATTGCACTTGCTTGAAAGCATTGCCAAAATGTCATGTGGAAAAGTCTCGATCACAATGAGAAAGTTGCTGAATTAGACTTTGTAATTGGCCTGGAACAATGGGAAAGAGATCAGAATATGCTTATGCTGTACTGTGTAGAACTTTTGGAATAAGTTATATACAGAAATGAAACAACATTATGAATTTCTTATGAAGATCAAACTAATAGAATAGGAACTTCATCATTAGTATTACTAATGAATATGAAATTAACCCACACTAGTTTAAATACCACAAAATATAGTTTAACTATTTCAAATCAAAGATTGTTGAAATTTTGTATGTGATGGGTTTTTTGTTACATATTATGTACCACATTTATTTTCAAGGAATGGTGTAAAGATGTGGATTTCAGAACATTAAGAAACTATCTTCCTTGTTAATTTTTCTCTCCAGTAGCCTTTAGTCGTCATCACCATGTGTGGCATATGGGCCCTTTTTGGAAGTGATGGTTGCCTCTCTGTCCAGTGTCTCTCTGCTATGAAAATAGCCCACCGAGGCCCGGATGCTTTCCGGTTTGAAAACGTCAATGGCTTCACCAACTGTTGTTTTGGCTTCCATCGTCTAGCAATTGTGGACCAGCTATATGGAATGCAGCCTTTAAGGGTGAAAAAATTTCCCTACTTGTGGCTGTGTTACAACGGAGAGATCTACAACTTCAGACGGGTACAGATGTGATAAGAACTACATTCTAATGGTTTTTGTGGCATTCCCTTATATCTGGTGTCTGAGTGAACTGCTGTGCATGCTTCACATATTTGTATATTGGCTCAAGTTCTTATAAGCTGGGTTGGGAAAATTGAAAGACAACGTATAAATCCCTTAAATTGGAGATGGGCAATCTATTGTCCATATCCTAATTTTACACACACACCCCTCTTCAAGCAGTCACCTTGAGAAATTGCAAAAATGTTGGGCCAGTGGATTCGGTAACTGGATATTCATGGCAGAAAAATCTAAATGAAGCAAGTGGTTGATGAAAGACTAACATTTGCCATAGAAAATGTGGGCAATTTAGGATTAAGTATTCAACAGGACCTCATACCCTTAGTGTTCTCTAAAATATATTGGGTGATTAGCAGTGGCAAACATGTTTTTTCTACTATTTCCAATATGGGATGATTCAAGTATTACTGTCTTCACAATCTCAACCAAACTGTGTCTAATGGACCTCAGGGGATATATAATAATTTGGTGCTCTTTTAGTATATTTACTTAATTTACTTGATTTTAAAAAATTATTTTATTGAAGAATTTTGTACAATAGTAAAAATGATACAAATTTAAGAAAAAGAGAAATGAGTAAAGAAAAGTGGAGAAAAAAGAAAGAGAAAAAGTATAAAGAAGCAGCTGCCGATCTTCTTTACAGCAGTTACAAATAAATTTATCATCTGTCCTCCCTCTTAAAGGTTACACTTAAGTTACTTTTTTTATAATGATTTTATTGGATTTTACAATCATACAGATAAAAAACTAACACAAACTACAAAAAATAAAAGAATAGAAATAAAAATAGTGCAGAAAAGAAAGAATAATAGGAAAAGAAAAATAGAAAAGAAGAAAGAAAAGAAAAAATATAAGAAAGAAAAGAAATATATAAGAAAGTAGCTTCCCCCTTCGTCACAAGTATAAACAATTTTAACAACTTCTCTTAAAATAAAACAAATGATTACTTTATCCCATATCTCATCTCTCATCTATAAACAAATCCTTAAAACTTCAACCCTGATAAGCAAAAGTCCATTAAGGGTTGCCAGAAATAACATATCTATTTTAAATGTAATTAAATAAAGCTTCTTTATATTCCTTCCTTTAACTTTTATATCTCATCTCTTATCTATAAGCAGATCTCTAAAACCTCATTCAGTCCTAATCAGTAAAATTCCATTAAAGGTTACCAGAAATACCAACATAACTATTTTTACCATGCTCAGATAAACTTAAAATACCACAAATGAATTCTTCTTCCCATATCCCCTCTCTTATCTATAAACAAGACCTTAAAACCTTGTCAGTCAATCCTGGTCAGCAACAGTCCATTAAGGGTTACCAGAGGTATCAACATAGCTATTTTAATCTTGATCAAATAAACCAACTTTATATTCCTTCCCTTTTAACAATCTTGGTCTTTAATCCCTTCAAATACTGACCTGGAACTTGATTTCACTTTTTTTTTTGGTCCCTTCTCACAAAGTCCTTCAGAACTTTAACAGGTCTCTTTTGTAAATTCAATGTAAGAAAGTTATCCAAGTCACTCTTCTGGTTTATTATTTGTATGTCCTTTCAGTTATTAAAACAACCAGTTTCATTTGTATATCAGATATTTCATCTTTTTCCATATCATTCTTGTAGCCTGTCATTTTTGAATGTACATTTAAATCAGTTTCAGTCTTGTCCAGTAGTACTTATTCCTGTCCCATAACATCATTTGCACAGAATCTATCTATAATGGCAGACATAGTGAAAATTAACTTCTGAGTCCATTGTTCACAAATATCCTTCAATATAT